TATTATTATTATTATTATTATTATTATTATTATTATTGTTATTATTATTATTATTATTATTATTATTATTATTATTATTATTATTATTATTATTATTATTACAGTATCTAAGCTTACAGTAACACAGTAAGCTTGACTTTATTCTTAACAGTAAAAGCTTAAAGGTGTCCCTCCCCTAATTGACCCCTACCTAACCTAACCAAACACTAACCTAACCTAACCAAACACTAACCTAACCTAACACTAACCTAACCTAACCAAACACCAACCTAACCAAACACTAACCAAACACTACCAAACACTAACCTAACCTAACACTAACCCAACCAAACCAAACACTAACCTAACCTAACCAAACACTAACCTAACCAAACACTAACTCAACCTAACCTAACCAAACACCAACCTAACCTAACCAAACACTAACCAAACCAAACACTAACCTAACCTAACCAAACACTAACCCAACATAACCTAACCAAACACTAACCCAATCAACCAAACACTAACCTAACCAACCAAACACTAACCTAACCTAACACTCAACCAAACCAAACACCTATAACCTAACCTAACCAAACACTAACCTAACCTAACCAAACACTAACCTAAACCAAACACTAACCAACCTAACCTAACCAAACACTAACCAACCTAACCAAACACTTAACTCAACCAAAACACTAACCTAACCTAACCAACACTAACCCAACCCAACCAAACACTAACCTAACCTAACCAAACACTAACCTAACCAAACCAAACACTAACCTAACCTAACCAACACTAACCTAACCTAACCAAACCAAACATAAACCAACCAAACACCAACCTAACCTAACCTAACCTAACCAAACACTAACCAAACACTAACCTAACCAAACCTAACCTAACCAAACCAAACACTAACCTAACCTAACCTAACCAAACACTAACCAAACACTAACCTAACCTAACCTAACCTAACCAAACCAAACACTAACCTAACCTAACCTAACCAAACACTAACCAAACACTAACCAAACACTAACCTAACCCAACCAAACCTTCAACAAGTCATTTTCTCCTCATCTTGTAACCAGGAAAGATCGTCATTATTTTGTTTCATCCTTCTGTATTTCTAGGCACCTTCTTTCTGTAGTTCCTCCCCATCCTGCTGCTGTACCTCCTTCCCTCCTGCTCCTGCTGTAGCTCCTCCTCCCTCCTGCTGTAGCTGTTCTTTTCGCCGCTGTAGATAGGTAGGAATCCGGCCAAAGTTCTGAGGTAAAGGTCAATGGTAGTCAGTGAGGTCTTGTGTGATGTTTTTGTTACTACTACTACTATCACCACCATCATCTTCACTACTACTACTACTACTGCTACTACTACTACTGCTACTACTACTACTGCTGCTGCTTAGCATTGACAACAAGACAGACACAGATAAGACAGAGACAGACAGACAGACAGATAAATACACACACACACACAGACAGACAGACAGATAAAACAGACACACACAGACAGACAGACAGACATAGACTCACCTTCTAAAGACAAAGTTAGGATAGAGCCGGATGTCAGCAGGTCCTGACAGCTCCCCACACACTCGTCAACATATCGTGCTCTAGTCAGCCTGCTGACGCCCTTACTTTGTTTACATTATCAGTTAACACCTTCCTGTGTATGATGATATATCTGTTAGTACACATACATACATGCTTACATATATACATACATACATACATACATGACTCACTTGCCACGGTCAGCTGGGGATAGTGGGTGGGTCGGCAGGGCAGGTCCTTGCCTGCACTGGCGCTGAACGGCTGTGAGGAAGAAGATGGTCTACTTCCTGACACTTCCTAATATTTTTGACACCTCCATAACTAACCAAACCTAACACTCAACCTGTTTTAACACTAACCAAACCTAACACTAACCAAACCTAACACTAACTTAACCCACATAACCAAACCTAACACTAACCTTGTTCAACACTAACCAAACCCACATCAATCCCTTGCCTAACCTATCCTAACCTAACCTAACCTACCTGCCGCTGTGATAATCTTGGTATCTCTTAGTGCCTGCTGTAGTACATGCCCGTGGCCCTTCTTCAGGTAAGGTGAGTGCAGGAGTGAGCGTAAGCTTCCCATAGTGGCGTGATGACCTTGTTTCATCCTGAGGTCTTCCTCGCTCTCTCATGATGCTGACACGTGCCTGAGATGACGTTAGGTTACGTTAGTGTTTGGTTAGGTTACGTTAGTGTTTGGTTAGGTTACGTTAGTGTTTGGTTAGGTTACGTGTAGTGTTTGGTAGGTTACGTTCGTGTTTGGTGTTACGTCAGTGTTTGGTTAGGTTACGTTAGTGTTAGGTTAGTTACGTTAGTGTTTGCTGGTTGCGTTTGCTGGTTACGTCAGTGTTTGGTTAGGTTACGTTAGTGTTAGGTTAGGTTACGTTAGTGTTTGGTTGTTACGTCAGTGTTTGGTTACGTCAGTGTTTGGTTAGGTTACGTTAGTGTTAGGTTAGGTTACGTTAGTGTTGGTTGGTTACGCCGTGCGTTTGCGGTTATTGTCAGTGTTTGGTTAGGGTTACGTTAGTGTTAGGTTAGTTTGCTTAGTGCGGTTGTTACGTCAGTGTTTGCTGGTTACGTCAGTGTTTGGTTAGGTTACGTTAGTGTTTGGTTAGGTTACGTTACAGTGTTTGGTTGCTAGGTCGTGTTGTGTTACGTCATGTTTGGTTAGGTTGGTTAGTGTTTGGTTGTAGGTCAGTGCTTGGTTGTTAGCGTCAGTGTTTAAGATTATGTTAGTGTTTTGGTTAGGTTAGGTTAGGTTAGGTCAGTGTTAGGTTAGGTTAGGTCACACTTACCTCTTTTCTCTCTTGATTATAACTGGTCGACGAGGCAACAGGTTTGTGATGTTTTCTTCTGCCATTGTGTCTCCTCCTTCTTCTTCTTCTTCTTCTTCTTCTTCTTCTCCTTCTTTCAAGTCTTATTTATCCCTGTGTCTGATGATCCTTTTGGCCTTTATTCTGTTATTTATCTGTCTCTCTGTCTCTCTGTCTGTCTCTCTGTCTCTCTGTCTGCCTCTCTGTCTCTCTGTCTCTCTCTGTCTCTCTGTCTCTCTGTCTGTCTCTCTGTCTCTCTGTCTCTCTGTCTGTCTCTCTGTCTCTCTGTCTGTCTCTCTGTCTCTCTGTCTCTCTGTCTGTCTCTCTGTCTCTCTGTCTGTCTCTCTGTCTCTCTCTCTCTCTGTCTCTCTGTCTGTCTGTCTCTCTGTCTTGTTGACTTATAGTGTGTGTTTGTGATCAGTATTATCTACTAGTATCCTGTCTGTAAATATCTCATGTATGATGTATGAATACCTCGTGTGTGATGTATACCTCGTGTGTGATGAATACCTCGTGTATGATGTATACCTCGTGTGTGATGTATACCTCGTGTGTGATGTATACCTCGTGTGTGATGTATACCTCGTGTGTGATGAATACCTCGTGTATGATGTATACCTCGTGTATGATGTATACCTCGTGTGTGATGTATACCTCGTGTGTGATGTATACCTCGTGTATGATGTATACCTCGTGTATGATGTATAAGTACCTCCTGTATGAGCTGGTATCCAATGAGGTTCTGTTGGGTCAGCTGTTGTTGTTGTGGCTCTGTCGTTGCTATGGTAACCGCGTCTCACTGTAGTCATGGTAACGAATATTAATGGATCAAATTTTCAGTGGGATTGAGCCCCCCTTTATATGTACTCTAATATGTACTCTCGCATGTTAAAAATGGGTCGAGGGTACACACACACATATACATACACACACCATAGTAAGAGTTTATTTATAATCTTTGAGTAATAATAATAGTTATCCCTTCAAAATAATATTCTCGTTTTCTAGTTGAATAGAATCAAAGAAAATGTAAGTTTATGACTAACTTACATATTTATGATTCTTCTCTACAGTACATGTGCGTGTATACCATTGTCTGTATACCTACACTGTGTACGTATATTGTTTGTATACCTGCACTGAATAAACCCTCCATTTTTTATTCTAATTTTGTCAAGGGTAGACTGCTCCATAGGCCTACCACCACCACCACCACTTGAGCTGGTAGATTGTTCCATAGGCCTACCACCACTTGAGCTGATAGATTATTCCATAGGCCTACACTATGGAACATTGTATACCTACACTGTATATACCTATAGCGTGTATATACATGATAAATCAATATAAACTTCCACAGCGTCACATAACATCTATCTACATTAGTCACTCTTCAAAATGGTGACATCTAAGAATTTTCTTATAATGAATTTATTTTCAGTAATAATATATAAATTTATGGTAAAAATATGAAAAAAATTTATTTTTAATTTTATAACATAAAATAGAACAATAAATTTGTATTATTATAAACTTTTCTTGAAATTACATATATAAAGGTATGTTATTTTATTTAGACTACAGCAACAACCAGTCAACTTTTGTAGGTAGTTGGCAGCTACCAAACAGGGAGGAACATATTGGAGACATACAGCACCATGTGTTGTCCAGATCCTGCTGCCATGTGTGACCAGGTTGATGATCTGACTTTCTGCCTCATTTACACACAGGGTCTCAATTGTTTCCCTGACAACACAACACAACACAACACAACACAACACAACACAACACAACACAACATACATATATTGTTTTTCACTTTTGATTTTTTTTAATTTTTGTATTTATTTATGGTTCTTTATTGTTATTATCATCATCAGTGTTGTTATTATTTAATTTTTAATTTTGTATTTTTATTAAACATTTTTTTAACTATGAACTATTATTATTATTTTCACATTTTCGCCCTCCAGGCCCTGATGTGGGTCAGTGACCTGTGCCTGGGTGGGCTAATCCTGTATAAACAAATATAAAATAAACATATAGTTACAGGTGTACGGCACAGTATGTAAGTACATTAAGTCATCCTTTATTTTTCTCTCACTGTCACGAGGCATAAAATAAAAGCCTCATTTAAAATTCCTTTTATTTAACAACTTCACAATATTCTTAGTCACATTAAGATCACATTAGCACCACTCAGAGCCAGCCCTGGCATCACTCAGAGCCAGCCCTGCTTTATCTCACAATATTCAGCAAGTAATACATAACATCTCTTTAATCACAGGACCCTATACACAAGGAGGCATTTGTGCCGCCAAATCCAAAGGAATTAGTGAGAGCGACCCTGGTGTGGGAGCTCTGTAACCAGGCTTTGGCTTCCTTAGGCACAAAGTCTAGGTCCAGACCGGGTCCAGGGTGGTCCAGGTTGGCCGTGGGAGGGATGTAGCCGGCGTGACAGGCCAACACCGTCAGGACGGCCTCCACCGCGCCCGCCGCTCCCAGCAGATGTCCCGTGGCGCCCTTGGTCGACGACACGGCGAGATTCTCCGCGTGATCTCCGAACAGCGACTTTATTGCCCGCACTTCGACGGCATCTCCCAGAGGCGTGGACGTCGCGTGGGCGTTTATGTATCGGACATCTTCGGGGTTGACGCGCGCTTCTTCCATGGCCCTGGCCATGGCTCTGACCGCTCCCTTGCCGTCTTCCCTCGGCGCCGTGTAGTGGTGAGCGTCTCCCGTCAGGCCATAACCCAACACCTCCCCATAAATGGAAGCTCCGCGCGTCACCGCGTGTTCATACTCCTCCAGTACCATCATCCCCGAACCTTCCCCCATGACAAATCCTCCTCTCAGGGCGTCGAAGGGTCTAGACGCTCTCTCTGGGCAGTCGTTGTACCCGGTGGCCAGCGCTCTGAGGCGACAGAAGCCGGCAATACCCAGCGGGTTTATGCTGGCCTCCGTGCCTCCGCACACCATCACGTCCGCGTCCCCGCTCTTGATGAACCTAAAAGCGTCCCCGACCGCGTGGGCACCGGTGGCACAGGCCGTGGACACTGTGTGGTTGGGTCCCTCAAATGAATACTTCATACTGATCTGGCCAGCTGCCATATTGGTCAATATCCTGGGCACAAAGTAGGGGCTGACTCTACTGTACCTGTCCCTGAGAGCCTCCCCGCTGGCCACCACGTCGTTCAGGTCCACCATCCCCATCCCCACGGCCACGCCCGTCCGTTCTCGCTCCTCGGGATCGTCGGGCTTCCACCGTGCATTTTCTACGGCTTCTCGTGCGGCCACCAGGGCAAAGGTAATGGCGGGAGTCATGGCACGCAGGTCACCGGGGCTAAAGTGGGACGACAGATCCAGTTCTCCTTCACCTTGTCCTCGAGGAACACTGGCAGCCACACGACACGGCATCTGCAACAACACACAGTAGGGTCTAATACATGAACTACTTGACAGGTAATAATAATAATACCTGTAATAATAATAATACTAATACCTGTAATAATAATAATACCTGTAACAATAATAATGCGGTAAACCCTCGTAGATCCAGACCTGGGAAATACGGATTTCGTAAGATCCAGACAAAAATTTGTGGGTTTCTGGGCTAAGAAGCCTCCTAGAAGTTTCCCTAAGAAACATTCCCAAACCAGAGCAAAGAACATTTTAGGGCCGTGGGCGCTGCTTGACCCGTCAGTTGCTTGGTGCCCGAGGAGGTGGGAAACAGTTGTTGTTTGTGGTAATATCATTTCACTCACTCTGGTAATGATACAATGTTTCTTATAATGTTATCACAGGTAAATGCTTGGTTTATATAATTTATTTATCACTACATTAGTACTGTATTTTGGGTGTTTCTTATATCATTTATCATTCGGCAGAAAATCCGGACAATCGGCTTTTGCGGACAGGTGATGCCCCACTTTAGTCCGGATCTTGGGGGGTTGACTGTACTGCAATAATAATAATAATATTGTACTGCATAATAATACCTGTAATAATATAATAATATAGTTCAGTGGTCCTCCATTAACGAGCGGTTCAATCTACGAGACTTCAGTTAACGAGTTACCTCCAGTAAGGACTTTCGGTTCTATTAACGAGTACAAATTCTATTAACGACGGCCTTACGAGAATCGCGTTTTGGTGCTCCCATCGGCTGGTCGACTCGTCCGCCAATAATCGGTTCTCTGTTTACCTTTGTTTCCAGTGGAGTAAACATAGAGAAAGTTGTGAATATTTGTACATTAAAATTATTGGTCATTTAGTTAACATATTGATAATGTACAGAGCGGTGTTGGTTAAAATAAAATAATCCAAAATTAGTTAAATAAATTGTTGTGAGCTTCAAACTTTATTGGTGAAATTATCAAGCTTAGGTCCCAAGAAATCTCTGAAGGCGATTTCAATCTCAATTAAAACCATAAATTATTAAGAAAGTGATTCACCTTCCAAGAAGCATTAAAATGGTTCTATTCTCCCTCCTCCTCCTCCAACATACTGTACACAACCTTAAAGTGTTAAAATATTTGAGGTATTATTACATTATTTTGTTTATATTTAATGTTTTGTTAATTCTATTACTGGTATACAGAACTTTGTTTATACTTTTTAATTCATTTATAGGGAATTATGTGAGTTAGAACCAATTACCCAATATCCCATTGAAAAGGAGTTAAAGAGTGACTCTGTGGAACAAACTGTGCTCATTAATCACTGTAATAATAATACCTGCAGTAAGAACAACATGGAGGAAACTGCAGTGGGCCTATACTGGGCAGTCCCATTTACACCCAACCCCTATCACTCATATATCCATCCAGCCTGTGTTTGAAGCTATCCAGCGTGTTGATGGTGTTTGGTAACTTGTTCCACTCGTCCACTACTCTATTTCCAAACCAATGTTTACTTCTCTCGCGCCTAAATCTAAATTTGTCTCATTTAAAACATTGTTACGAGTTCGCTCCTGGTTGGATAGTTTGAGTACCTTTGTAATGTCACCTTTGTTTAACCCTGACTTCCATTTATACACCTCATCATATCGCCCCTCGCTCTACGTCTGTCGCGGGAGTGCAAATTAAGATGCTTTAACCTGCCTCTGTACTCGAGGTTCCTAATGCCCGGGATTAGTCTTGTCATTCTCCTCTGAATTCTTTCCAAGGATTCTATATCCATTCTGTAATAAGGTGACCAGAATTGAACTGCGTAATCCAAGTGAGGTCTAACAAGCGCAGGATATAGTCTTAAGATGACCTCCCTAGTCTTGTAACTAACACTCCTTTGTATGAACCCAAGTACTTTATTAGCCTTGTTTCGAGCAAATACACATTGTTTACTTGGCTTATGATTCCTACTTATCATTACTCCTAAATCTTTCTCACAGTCAGATTTCTCAATAACATCGTTGTTCATCTGGTATCTGGTTTCCCTGTTTACATCTCCTATACTGAGTACTTTATATTTTTGTCCACATTAAATTTCATCTGCCATTTTTCAGACCATTCAAAAATTTGTTTAGATCTTCCTGTAGTCTTGCGGAGTCCTCGTCAGATTTAATTACACGCCCTATTTTAGTGTCATCAGCAAATTTACTTATGTTGCTGTCTAATAATATTGTAATATTAATAATAATTATAATAATAACAATAATAATAATAATAATACTGTAGTAATAATAATAATTATAATAATAATTCATGTACTAATAATAATAATTATAATAATAATACATGTATTAATAATTATAGTAGTAATAAAGGGTAATAATATCTAATCAGTAAAATCATCAAACAAGTTTATAATTGATTCAGCATGTACAGTACAGCACAGCACAGTACAGTACAGCACAGCACAGCACAGTAAAGTACAGCACAGTACAGCACAGCACACTACAGTACAGTACAGCACAGTGCTACTGTACTTCTATTTTACAAAATGTGAGCAAAAATAGAGACAATCTGAAGGCAATATGTCCAGTTAGGTTAAGTTCACATTAGGTTGGTGTTAGGTGAGGTTAGGTTAAGTTAGTAGGCAGCTATCAAACAGGGAAGAAGATATTAGAAGCATAATGTGATGTCTAGACCCTGCTGCCATATGTGACCAAGTCCCAGGTTGATGATCTGACTTTCTACCTCATTTACACACAGGGTCTCAATTGGTTGGTGTTAGGTTACGTTAGGTTAAAGTAGATTAGTGTTAGGTTATGGAAATAGTACGTTTTGAACTAATAAACAGCCAATACACAGAAAATAAACACACCTTGGAGTACCGCGGGTCGGTGAGTGCAGTGGTCGCCACCTTGCCAGAAGTCAACTGGAGCCAGTTATGGGGCGTGCCAACCCCTAGAGGTGTGACCAGTCCGAGGCCGGTCACTACCACCCTGCGTATGCCTCCCATCGTTCTGTAATTACTTTTAGTCATCAACGATCACTGTATTCTCGTGCCAATACAACAACAATAATATGTAGAGTGTGTGTCATGTACAGGGTGTGTCATGTACAGGGTGTGTCATGTACAGGGTGTGTCATGTACAGGGTGTGTCATGTACAGGGTGTGTCATTATAGAATACACTCAATTCATATATATATATTTTAAATACAAAAATAAATGTCCCAAGTATTAAATCACGACGGTGGTAACATCTCAGTGAACAGGGTGCTCGTCTTGGTCTGCCCGAGTGACTACTTTAAAACCAAAATCTTCCATAATAATAAACTGTCTCTTCTATAATTAAACTTTGACTAAATTAACTCACACAGAAACATTAATAAACCAGATAATAATTGCTAAAATGGGGTTAAATAGCGAGAAATAGTCAATAATAGTCGATAAGGCAGCTTGTGTTTACCTTTTTGAGTCGCTTATACAATAACACAAGGACGGTTAATGTTGCTTAAGTGCGACGAACACGACCATCAACTTATCTATCTATCATAACTAGAATAAACAGATTAATATCGATCCAATAGAGACTTAATCTCCATATAATAGTTATAGTTATGATAATTCTGGTTGGGTATTATAATAAATTTTTAATTGAGAATAGAAACGTGGCTATGATCGTGGTTTCCCTATAACATTATAACAAGGAATGTTATCATTTTCTATGATAGTCCGTCACCGTCTGACCTCTGGCGGATTTTGTACCAACTACATTAATTTTTCCACCTTAGTGTAATCTGTAAAACTAAAGCAAATATCCCAAGACATTATTATATATTATAAACAACATATAAAAAAACTGAGTATCTATTTACAGTAAAATAATGAATTACTGTTTTGAGGGAACATTCACAGCCCTTCTAGAACCGCTCCGTGTGTAATGATTCCTGCTTCACTAACATGAAACCAAAAACCGAACGTAAACCAAATCTTTGATAAAACATTCTTGGTTTAGTAATACATTGATCCTGTAACCTAACCTAACTAGTCCAGGATTGGCGACGTGATGGAAGTAGATACGTTAGTAGACATATTAGACATGATGGAAGTAGATATATGTTAGTAGACATGATGGAAGTAGATATATGAAGCTGTTCGCAGTCATATTTCCCGCCTCTGTTGACGGTCGTGTAATATTTCAATGTGCTTCTGATCTTTTAAAATTGTGTTTTTACATAATGTAGTGTTACTGATAGGTAATTTATCTAAGTATGCCTTATTGTGGGTAAAAATAAGTATATATTAAATGCATCTCCCGAAACCGTGAATTTGCTACAAGAGTTTAACAGTTAATTCATGTAAAATACTTCTAATAAACTTCCTACTTGCTTATGTTTGAAATAATAAATATATGTAGCTTTGTATAATTTAGCTAAACATCTGAAAGTCATCCCAACTACAGTAGACATGGTAAACATATTGGGAGTAAGAAGTAAAAATGTATATTATTTAGTGGACAAATTTCCACTCGAAACACTATATGAGGTAATTTAGTATTGGATAAAACCCTGAGAGAAAATCACGTAATGGAGAAAATTGTGTTTAGTGTGGGCTCTATCGGCGGTGAACCTATTTATCAAGGTCCTTTTCTGAGTGATTTTGCCTATCGAGGTTCTATTCTAGACGTGTTAGTTCAGATCTTATTATTATTATTATTATTATTATTATAGTAGTATTGTTGTTGTTACTATTTGTATTATTATTAAATAATTTATATTATCATTATCATGAACAACTTAATTATTTTATAGATTAATTATATAGTCCAGGTTAACAGATAAAATAATATATATATTTGGATAGAATAATTATAACTTTACTCGAATGCTGTATCTATTATTAGTAGTAATCACAGGGAAATAGTTTCTCAATAATAATATTAAGATGAATATTACATCTCCCGAGATGAATATTTACAGCGTTTTAGGAGTCTTAGGGAGTGGAGGTTCCAGTAATGTCCTTTCTTGTATATTTTCTCTAATTTATTGCAGGTTTAACGGCTTAGTTATGCATACCGTTAGAGGTAATAAATACTAGAAATATATTTATAATTTGTTATCGTATTTTAATGATAGAATAAGAAGTTATATATAAAAATGCGAAGTAAATAAGGATAATTTGGGAGAGAGATCTGCGCAGTGGGAGAGTTTGGGTGTTGTGCGCAGGTCCGTCAGCCAATCAGCGCGCAGCTCCCGTCACTGTGGTATTTAGGCGCCAAAATACAAGCGCCATGTTGTTCTCAGTCGGGTTGTGGTGACGCTAGCAACCTGTCGACCTTTTTAAGTGAATTTAAGTGGTATAAAAGAGAGACAGTTGGGTTGGAGGATTATGAATCACACCTAATATGATAGTGAATCTACCCGAGCGGGAATAATGTCGCAGAGCAGCGCCACGAGGTGAGTAACAGAGAGTGAAATAAGAGTGTTGACGTGATCAGCTGGGCGTCAAGCATCACCCAGCCGCTGCCTCCTCAACACCTATCACAAAAAAACTTTATATTTTTCATTATTTTTTTCCACGGGTGAAAATATAGTATGGTATATATCTCAAGGTGTGTCGTAAGTCCTTTATTTTAAGCTGTATTAAGGGATTTAAGGGTAATTTAAGGTTAACTCTGGGATGTAAGATGAAGGTGACAGGCGGGTGGAGGCTGTGTTAGTCTCTTCTTCACAAACTTATTATCTCCTCAAAACAACAACACCACCATACAAAATACAACAATATTATACAACAGGTTTATTAAAATATTTATTAACGTATTTACGAAGGTTACACAAGCCTCCACCAGGTAGAGGTGCAGGTAACTTAATTATATGGGATATTTACCTGTGACTCACTTTTAACGCATCATTTTATTAATTTTCCTAACGTTAACACAAATTATAATAACTTTTTGACACATTTTAGAATAGTTTACTAAATAAAATATTATTTGTAGTTTGAACTTGGTGTGGTGACATGATATTTTCTCAATAAACATGGATACAGGACTTTTGTAAACATTAATTAACCCATTTAAACATTATTAAACCTCTAAGCATTATTAAACCGCACTAAACATTATTATTAAACATTAAATAATCTTGTTATATATTAATACAATTTTGTTAATATTTTCTTAGTTTAATAAATACTTGTGGTTATATTATTGTGATCTGTACTTAAGTGGCGGAATTTTCATATTTTATTGTAATTTAATTTTTTTTTTTAATTTAACAACTTTTTAACAATGATTTTGAAATTTTTGGGGGTAGATTAACTTTGTGAAATAGTGTGTTTTGTGCTTTATATTCTGTATTCTGATCTGTTAATTTAGTTTGGTTGGGTTAGCATTTTAACTCGGGTTTTTAATTTTTAACATAATTACAACATTAGTTTAGTTTGATATGATATTATTTGACTTAATCTTTTAACATTGGTTCTGGTTTCTCAACACAACTACAGGATTTGACTTAACTTTTTAACAATTATAACAGTTTAGTTTTAACATAATTACAACTGGTTTAGTTTTTAACATATTTACAACATTGGTTTAGGTTTATCATTACATTATCATAATTTATTTTGACTATGTGAATATATTGGTTCAGTCTCCTAGGTAAACACACTGTGGTATTTACTTTTGGACAACACAGGAATCTTAGGAATTGTAGGTAAATTTTGACTTTGGACAACTGGGGAATCTTAAGAATTTTGTCCAGGTCAAAATATTCCCACAATTCCTAAAATAACTAAACAATAATAGCCTTTTAAATACAGTATACAGTAATATTATATCTGTATCTATGTTCTGTGTTCAAGTAGGTATTGTATTAACTATAGTGTACACATAATATAGAAGTACATCATTTAACCTGTGTACTGTACGTTGTTGCCGATGAGTTCCTAAGCTGCTCTGTGACCATACCTCGCACTACAAGCTGTTTGGACGGTTCACCTACTGGGTGTTACTATAGTGTGCGAGGCTATGTTATATTTAGGTTAGGTTAAGTTGGGTAAGGTTAGGTTAGATATAGGTTAGTTTAGGTTGGGTAAGGTTAGGTTAGTTAATGTTAGATATAGGTTAGGTTAAGTTGGGTGAGGTTTGATTAGATATAGGTTAGTTTAGGTTGGGTAAGGTTAGGTTAGTTAATGTTAGGTATAGGTTAGGTTAAGTTGGGTGAGGTTTGGTTAGATATAGGTTAGTTTAGGTTGGGTAAGGTTAGGTTAGTTAATGTTAGGTATAGGTTAGGTTAAGTTGGGTGAGGTTTGGTTAGATATAGGTTAGTTTAGGTTGGGTAAGGTTAGGTTAGTTAATGTTAGGTGTAGGTTAGGTTAAGTCTGGTAAGGTTAGGTTAGTTTTCACATCTAATTGACCCCTGATATAAAAGACTTTCATCTCTGTATAGTTCATTAGATGGAGGTTTCACGCCCAACGAACCCTCGATATAACGGCTTCCCTTCCCTTACAGTCCATTATATAGAGGTTTTGCTGTGCTTCGGGGTAATTACACTGCATCATACATCTCCCAGGAGTATTGTATTAGCTTCTTAATACAGTATATCTCTACTGTATTTTTCTATCAGGTTGTATCTTAAGGACTTTGTATTGTGGAGTTTTATTTAAGATATCTGTTAGTTTGTTGTGAGTTTCTGATTGTTATTCACTGTCAGTCTTGTGAGCTTTATACATGTTTTGTTTACACTATACCTCTACTGTTTATGTATACTGTATACCTCTACTGTACTGTTTATGTATACTTGTACTGTTTATTGTACACGCGCTGCAGAAACTATCTCTACTCGGGGTGATCGATGAATTCCGTAATGAACACTACGTCTCCTGTTGTCTTGGTAGTGGTGTCAAAATTCTTCGTCCGTTGTGTCATATTGCCTCACCCAAACTCGTTCAAGGTTCTTTTCGGAGGAGTGTTCAGTTCATTCACCCGCCATGTTGTGGAACGGCGGGGGTAGGTAGGTGGAACGGTAGGGGTTAGGTAGGTGGAACGGTAGGGGTTAGGTAGGTGGAACGGCAGGGGTTAGGTAGGTGGAACGGCAGGGGTTAGGTAGGTGGAACGGCAGGGGTTAGGTAGGTGGAACGGCAGGTTAGGTAGGTGGAACGACAGGGTTAGGTAGGTGGAACGGCAGGGGTTAGGTATGTGGAACGCAGCAGGGGTTAGGTATGGAAACGACAGGGGTTAGGTAGGTGGAACTATTGGTGGGAAGAGCAGGTAAAATGGCGAGTGTAGATACTGTACTGTGTGGTGTGTGGTAGAGAAGTATGTAGTGATTATTTTTTTATTTTATAGATAAACAATTCAGTTCTGTAAAATATTTTGTGCAGTGTGGGGATAACTTTTTCATGTTATTAGGTTGGGTTTGCTTAATTTGGGTTAGATTAGATTTGGATTTGGTTAGATTAGGTTTGGTTGGAGTTAGTTTAGCTTTGGTTAGATTAAGTTTATTTAGGTTAGGATTTGGTTAAGTTATTGTACAGGTGAGCTGGGTATATACCTGTAATTATCGCATTAACAGATGGAGTAACGTGGGTAGTGTGTGGCACAGGTCCCTCCTCACACACAGACACACACACACACACACAGACACACACACACCATCCAGCCTCACACACACACACATACTCACACACCACCAGCCCCCTCACTCACACACACACACCACAGCCCTCACACACACACACACACCAGCCAGCCCTCACCACACACACACTTCTACAAATATAAACATAGACGTATAGACAAGTCCTTCATACAGACACCGCCTCTCGTGTTATCAGATAGGGAGCATCATGTCCCCCCACACGCATCACATGAGAGGAGATATGCCAGTCTCTTTAAAGATCTGCAGCAAGACTCATTCCACTGTGAGAGAGAGAGAGAGAGAGAGAGAGAGAGAGAGAGAGAGAGAGAGAGAGGATTGTTGGTGTGTGTGTGTGTACTGCCGTTCTATAGGAGTACGCTACGTTGTTTAGGTTAGGCTGGGGTGACTAATCTTCAATTTGGGCACAGGTGGGCGTACAGGTGTGGGGCGCCGAGAGGTAATGTGGGAGGGACCAGGTGGGGGTGGGGCGCCGTAGAGGTAATGTGGGAGGGGACCACAGGTGGGCGTACAGGTGTGGGGCGCCGTAGAGGTATGGGAGGGATCACAGGTGGGGGTGGGCGCCGTGAGAGGTAATGTGGGAGGGACCACAGGTGGGCGTTTGGGCGTACAGGTGGGGCGTCCTAGAGGTAATGGGAGGGAGCACAGGTGGGCGTACAGGTGTGGGGCGCCCCAGAGGTAATGGGAGGGAGCGGCGGTGGGCGTACAGGTGGACGCCCCGAGGTATGAGGGGGCAGGTGTGAGACGCCCGAGGTAAGTTTTGAGGGGCACAGGTGGGTGTACAGGTGAGACGCCTCGAGGTAATGTGGGAGGGGCACAGGTCGTACAGGTGAGACGCCCCTGAGGTAATGTGGAGGGGCACAGGTGGGTGTACAGGTGTGAGACGCCCTCGAGGTAATGTGGGAGGGGGCACAGGTGGGTGTACAGGTGTGAGACGTCCTAGAGGTATGTTGGAGGGACAGGTGGGCGTACAGGTGTGAGGCGCCCTAGAGGTAATGTGGGAGGGGGCACAGGTGGGCGTACAGGTGTGAGACGCCCTCGAGGTAATGTGGGAGGGGGCACAGGTGGGCGTGTGGTCAAGATTAATGCTTCCTGTAGGTGTAAAGCTTCCAGGGTGAGCGTCGTGCCCTTGTGTGACCTGCAACATACCCACGTGCCCACAACACACGCAGTTGGCAGCCTGGGATGAAGTGTACTTTTGTGTTGTGGGCCCAGTATATATTGTGTTAGAGGCCCTGGAGTAAGCATATTTTTGTGTTAGAGGCCCTGGAGTAAGCATATTTTTGTGTTAGAGGCCCCAGAGTAAGCATATTTTTGTGTTAGAGGCCCCGGAGTAAGCATATGTTAGAAAGGGTGCCCCGGAAGAAGCATAATCCCCACTCAAGGCTTTTGATGAGGGTTCACAGAGGGAGTGGCGGCGGCAGTCTCCTCAGGGCTCCCTGTGGGAACACTCCACGCTGTGTAGGTATGTCCGCGAGGTGAGAGAGAGAGAGAGAGAGAGAGAGATGATTGTGCTTGTGAGATCGAATTTGCTCTCACACACACACACACCACACACACCAAAGGTACTGTCAATCAGTGTGTAACAAGACACTGCTTCCAGATGTCAACACATTTATTTTCCAAACCAATTATAACTAAACGCCTGATTGGCTGACAGCTGGGGGGATAGCCGTACCACATGTCTGGGTAGGGGGGGCAGTACTGAGCCCTGGCCCCCACATGGAACTTTTAATGGGCATGCAAATGAATCCTCCTCCTCCCCCTTAACCCCCCCATTATCCCTTACCCAGGTATTCCATCATAGTTCTATAGTACCCAAGCCATACTTCTCGGAAAAAGAGAGAGACATTTTTACACCATTCACTACAATTTTTCCCTTGAACTTTTGAAGTGTGTCTGTGTGTGTGTGTGTGTGTGTGTGTCTGTGTGTCTGTGTGTGTTGTGTGTGTGTGTGTGTAAAGCTGAAGATGTTACAACTTCCCTTCCTGATAATTCTCTGCATTCTTTCTTGCATTTTCGCATTCTTTCTTACCTGGCGCATTCATTTTATACTGTGCATTGCTTCTTACCTGGTTCATTCTTTTATTTTTTTTGCATTCATTTTATATTGCGCATCGTTTGTGTTTGTAATGCATTCTTTTTATCGATATTACTTTTTCATAGATCCATGTTACATTCTTTTGCTTTCCTATTGTATTCATTTTATCAACAGTGCATTCTCTCTATCGACAGTGCATTCTCCCTATCAACAGTGCATTCTCTATCGACAGTGCATTCTCTCTATCGACAGTGCATTCTTTTCCTATGTCTGAATACCTTAAGAGTTACACACGTACTGCAGTCCATAGTTGAGCATTGGTCCAAGTTGTCTGTCACTGGCATTGTCCTAGGAGGATTGACCCCGACAGGAAGGGCTCCATTTGGTGACCTCTGACCTCTTGTGTTGACCTCTGTTGTAGTGGAGGGGTGGGGGAGATAGGGTGCGGTAAGGGAAATGTAGGGGAGAAATGGGGAGGGTGGTGGTTAGGGGAGAAAATGGGAGGGGGGGTGGTAGGGGAAAAATGGGGAGGGTGGGTAGGGGAGAAATGGGGAGAGGGTGGTTAGGGGGGATTAGAAATAGCTATGTATATATTGTCATTTCACACACACACACACACACACACACACACACACACACACACAAACAAGTCTTCTTACAGTAGTAGTCATATCTCTCTCTCTCTCTCTCTCTCTCTCTCTCTCTCGCTCTCGCTCTCTCCTCAAGGCTTCCTCAAGCTTACCTAACCTAACCACATCCGGTGATTAAAACTGTGGTGGAATGAGGAATGAGGAGGAGGAGGAGGAAGGCCAAGGGTGAAGAAAACAGTGAGGAGGAAGACTGTAAGGAGGAGGAGGAGGAGGAGAGAAGGCAAGAGGAGGAAGAAGGCAAGAGGAGGAAGGAGGAAGGCTGAGTCGTGTGTACTCATTGTACTGTAGCACATAATGTACACGTGTTCCATACCAGTGTACACAAACGAGTGAATTATTGTACACTAATATCCTGCAGTTTTATTAGTGGTTTAAATTGTTGGTCCATAATGTACACTTTCCCCGTACTGTAGCACATGGTGTACACTTATTCACTGACGATGATGTACAGACAATAACGAGAATAATCCAAGGTAGATGTACTGTACTCATGGATCAGTCATAGTAGTACAACTTGGCAGGATGGTTGTTGTACAGTACACCAACACGGGTAGTACAGTACACTTCTCCACTACTTGTGATGGAGAATGAGTCTTGTATACGACTGGTTTGTGTGTGTGTGTGTGTGTGTGTGTGTGTGTGTTGGGAGGTGTCAGAGGAGGAAAGTAGGGAGAGGTGAGGGGAGGAGGGAGGCATTTGTTGCATAGTGAGAGTGCGTGAGGGAGGGAAGTGTGTGTGTGTGTGGTAGGTACTGGTGTTTTAAATCGGGTGGAGGGAGGGAGGAGGTAGGAGGGGGGGGTGGGTGGCGGTGAGGGAGGGGAGGGGTAGCGACTGTGTTCCCCTGAGAATAGACTGACTGACTCCCGCACCGCCACCAGCTGTAGGTACCTCGCCCTCCACACCCCCACCTCCCCTCCACACACCCCTACCTCCCCCTCCACACACCCCCTCCACACCCCCCCTCAGTAGTGGCCTGCATAGTATTGTGGGTTACGGTGTGTTGCAGAGGTGTTGTGTTGCAGCAGGTTACCGTGTTGACCCTACAATGGGGGAGGGTGAGGAGAAAGGGGGAGGAGGAGGTGTTAGGTAAGCGTGATAAAGGCCGGGGCTGTCAACATGCTGCTTGAGATGGTAGACAGACGGATGGACAGCCAGACAGACAGACAGACAGACAGACAGACAGACAGATAACAAAAAGGGTAGATATATTAGTATAAGTAGACCAAAGTTTGTGTCAGTCCGTCCCTCCAGTCACACACACACACACACACACACACACACACACACACACACACACACACACACACACACACACACACACACACACAATCCCATGCGTTCTAGGTCATTAAATCTCTCTCTCTCTCTCTCTCTCTCTCTCTCTCTCTCTCTCTCTCTCTCCTCTCTCTCTCTCTCTCTCTCTCTCTCTCTGTGATCCTTGGCTCCCTGGCTTGTGTGTTTCATCCCAAGCCTAGAGTCATGGAGGCCCTGTTCGAATCCCTGAGTTCAGATACACTTATAATCTCCTAACTGGTGGTGAGTGTGGCTTAGACTGTGATGGACTGGGTTGACTGTAAGGTGTAGTGTAAGGAGATAGGGAGGGGAAGGAAGACAGGGAGAGAAGTGATGGAGTGTGTGGAGGGAGGGAGAGGTGGGCAAGACTGTCTGTATCTGTTTGTCTGTCTGTCTGTCTGTCTGTCTGTCTGTCTGTCTGTGTGTGTGTGTGTGTGTGTGTGTGGGTGTGTGTGTGTGTGTGTGTGTCTGGGTGTGTGTGTGTCTGTCTGTGTGTGGGTGTGTGTGTGTGTGTGTGCGTACGTGATGGAGGAAGGACGTGGAACGGAGGCATATGTTCCTCGAGGGAAAGAAATACCTCCTCTTCCCCTTCTTTAACCTCCTCTTCCTCCTCCTCTTCTTTCTCCTCTTCCTCTCCTCTCCCTATGTTCCACTGCTGAGAGATTCACAAGAACAAACTGGTTGAGAATAATCACCCTTACTCCCTCTAACATGACTTACATCCTTGACGCCGCTTCCCTCCCCTCTCAGTGGTCCTTCCTACGGGTGTTCGTCTGTAGGGTGGGGTGTCGGATCTCTCACCACCTGTCCCACCCCTTCATGGAACACTCCCTTTCCTACTCTCCTCCCTCTCCTTTCCTACCCTCCTCCCTCCTCCCTCTCCCCTCTCCTCCCTCTCCTACTCTCCTCCTCTCCCTTTCCTACCCTCCTCCCTACCCTCCTCTCCCTTTCCTACCCTCCCTCTCCCTTTCCTACTTTCCTCCCTCTCCCTTTCCCTATCCTCCTCCCCCTCCCTTTCCTACCCTCCTCTCTCCCCTTTCCAACCCTCCCTCCCTTTCCAACCCCTCCTCCCCTCCTTTCCTACCCTCCTCCCTCCCATTCCTACCCTCCCTCCCATTCCTACCCTCCCCTCCCCTCCCATTCTACCCTCCCCTCCCTCCATCCCTACCCTCCTCCCTCCATTCCTACCCTCCTCCCCTCCCATCCCTACCCTCCTCCCTCCCATCCCTATCCTCCTCCCTCCATCCCTACCCTCCTCCCTCCCAACCCTCCTCCCCTCCCATTCTCCCTCCTCCATTCCTACCCTCCTCCCTCCCATCCCTACCCCCTCCTCCTCCCATTCCTACCCTCCTCCCTCCCATCCCTACCCTCCTCCCCTCCCATCCCTATCCTCCTCCCTCCCATCCCTACCCTCCTCCCTCCCATCCCTACCTCCTCCCTCCCAACCCTCCTCCTCCCTTCCAACCTCCTCCCTCTCCCATTCCTACCCTCCCCTCCATTCTACCCTCCTCTCCTCCCATCCCTACCCTCCTCCCTCCCTTTCCAACCCTCCTCCCTCCATTCCTACCCTCCTCTCCTCCCCCCCCCTTTCCTACCTTCCTCCCTGGGTATATGTTAGCTTGGCCCCTAGCTGGTATGTGTGGGGGAATTAAAACTTGGGTCAGTGTGATTAATTGAAACAGTTTATTGAGCCATAAGAACACAGATACAGAGTGGATAATAATAACAATATTAACATGGCTGAGAACCTGAGCTGCACCTGATATATACTGTACATTTATCTCAAGGAAGTATTATGTAACATTTAGTATCATGTGGGATAATTACAACAGCATGGTGGTAATAACAACATCTCACCATGGTTATCACTTCATTATTTATTTATTTTATTTATTTATTATTTATTTATATATTTATTTTTATTTTATTTATTTTTATTTATTTATACATACATATACATATATACACATATGTGTAGGCCGAAGGCAGGTGTGTGGTAGGCCGAAATGTGTGAGGTAGACCGAGGCAGGTTTGGGTGGCTGGCCTTTATTGTTCCCGTAAGTTTAAATCGATGTTTGATGATGGTTCACTATACCTGGTGGTGGTGATGGTGGTGGTGTTTCCTCACTCCTCTCTTTCTCTCCTACAGTAACAGTCTCCCTCACCACAGCATCACTATTCTCCCCTCCTCTCTCTCTCCTCACCTCAGCAACAGTCTCCCCTCACCACAGCATCACTATTCTCCTCCTCTCTCTCTCTCTCCTTCCTCAGCAACAGTCTCCCTCTCCCCAAACATCACTATTCTCCCTCTCTCTCTCCCTTCCTCAGCAACAGTCTCCCCTCACCACAGCATCACTATTCTCCTCCTCTCTCTCTCCCCTTCACAGTAACAGTTTCCCTCTCCCAAACATCTATCCCTACTCTCTCTCTCCTCTCCACCCCAGCAACATCGAGGATGACAACTGCTGCTCCAACGATGAACTAAGTGACGGGTACGGTGGTGACTCTTACCTGGATGACGACCACCCCTCATCCACCTCCGGGCCAAGGGTCAAGAAACACGTCAACAAGGGGCGCTGGACCAAGGATGAGGATGAGGTACGTGGGGGGTCATGTGAGGTCAGGGTTGGTTTATGTCAGGAGAGGTCACGGTGGGGTAATTTGAGGTTAGGGGTGTTTAGGGTCAGGGTGGGATGATTTGAGGTCAGGGCGGGATGATTTAGGAACAGGAGGTCATGTTGGTCAGGAGGTGAGGTGGGGATGATTTAGAGGTCGGGGTGGGTGATTTAGGGTCAAGGGAGATCAGGGTGGGTTGATTTGGAGTCGGCAGGATGATTTAGGAACTGGAGGTCATGTTAGGTCAGGAGGTGAGGTTGGGATGATTTAGGGTCTCAATTTCTCCCCACTTAAGCTTTCCTCTCCTCCCAACAAAAGCTCGTTTTCTCCCCAGTAAGATCCTCCCCACCGCCACTAAGTCTCTCCCATCTCTCCTCACCATTAAGACTCTCCCCTCATCTCCCCCCAAACAAGTTTACCTCCTACAAATATCTTCTCCCCACTAAGACTCTCCCCTCATCTCCCTAAATCTCCCCTCATCTCCCCTAAATCTCCCCTCATCTCCCACTAATCTCCCCTCATCCACTAAGACTCTCCCCTCATCTCCCCACTAAGACTCTCCCCTCATCTCCCCACTAAGACTCTCCCCCTCATCTCCCCACTAAGACCCTCCCCTCATCTCCCCACTAAGACCCTCCCCTCATCCCCCCTAAGACCCTCCCCCATATCCCCACTAAGACCCTCCCCCTCATCTCCCCACTAAGACTCTCCCCCCTCATCTCCCCAGTACAAGTTGAAGGTGTTGGTGGATCAGCACGGAAAGTGGGAGTGATCGCTGGCTTCTCCTCGACCGTAACGACGTCCAGTGTCAACAGCGGCAGAAGGTGGTCAACCGGCTCTGGTCAAGGGGCCCTGGACTAAGGAGGTGAGTGTATGTCTGTCTCTAGGGGTGTGTGGGGAGTGTTGTTAGGGGTGTGTGGGTGAGTGTACTTCTCTAGGGGTGTGTGGGTGAGTATCTTCTTGTTTGGGTGTGTGTTTGGTGTGTGGGTGGTCTGTCTCTAGGGTGTGTGGGTGAGTGTTTCTGTCTGTGTGTGGGTGAGTGTATTTGTTTGGTGTGGGTGGGTGTAGGGGTGTGTGTGGGTGTGTTGGTGTGTGTGTGTGTGTGTGTGACAGTCTTGAACAGGTGTGATGTGTGTGTGTGGGGGGGGGGTTACTGCTGGAGGAAGGAAGGGAGGGAGATGGGTGAGGGAGGAGGGAGGGAGAGTGAAAGAGGGAGGGAGGATGGGTGAGAAAGGGAGGGAGGGATGATGGTGAAAGAGTTGAAGGAGGAGGAAGGGGGTTATTGAAAGGATGATGGGATGGGGGAGGAAGGAGGAGGTGTGGTTGAGACATTGAGAGGGGAAGAGGGATTTGAAGGAGGAGAGGATAGAGGAGAGAAAAAAGTAGAAGGGTGTACAGAGAAAAAAGAAAAAAGAGTGGGGGTGAGAGAGAAAGGTGGAAGGGTCAGAGAAGAGGAGGAGGGAGGAGTCAAAGAATAAGAAGAGGAGGAAGAAGAGGTCAAGAAGGAAGAAGAGGAGTCAAAGGAGGAAGAGGTGGAAGAGGTGTCATAAAATTAGGGTATCTTTGGTGCTACCGACCTGACCACGTGTATCCTTCCTCTCCTTCCTCTCCTTCCTCATTACCATAACCATCACTAATCTCTCGTCTCCTCACTTTATTCCTCTTCTTCATCTCTTACTTTTATTCGTCTCTGTCTTCTCTTCCTCCTCTTCTTCGTTATCTCCCTCTTCCTTCACTTCGTCTTCCTTATGATTGTGTTTCTCCTCTCTTCCTCCTCCTCCTCTCTTCTCTTCCTCCTCCTCCTCCTTTCTTCCTCCTCCTCCTCTCTTCCTCCTCCTCTCTTCCTCTCCTCCCCTCTTGTGTTCCTCTTTTCCCCCTTTTGCTTCCCCATTTTTAGTCCGTTTCTCCTCTTCCTGTTTTCCTCTCCTCCTCCTCTTAATTACCAGACAGGATCGATAATACTATAATTAGCGGTGATAAAAACGAGAATTAAAATGGTATTTCTCACGCCCACGGTAGTTTTCCCACGCCCATAGTAGTTTTCTCCGCCACGGTTAGTTCCCCACGCCCACAGTAAAGTTCCCACACCCACAGTTAGGTTCCCACGCCCACGGTAAAGTCCCCACGCCCATGACAACGATAGAGTGTGGGCGTAATAGTGAAGCTCTTGTGGGGATGCCATGTTTGTGTGTTGACTCGGGTAAGTTAATCGCCAGGTGGGAAAAAAAATGGCGGATAAATTCACCTGAGACTACAGTATCCATTTATAGACCACGATCCAATATGGCGGCGGAATTGCCCTAAGACTGTACTGTTGTGTTATTGGGACCTTGTCAAAAATGGCGGTGGACTTGTTCAGAGACTATACTGTTCCCTTGTGTATTGGTTAAGGAAAAAGGGGGATCCTATGGTACTTTGAGATTCCTGGTTATAGGGGGAGGGAGGAGGGTGAGAGTCTTAGTCCTTTCGACCTTTAGCAGAGGAAAGAATAGGGTGAAAGTCCTATTTTTAGACCTTTCTTTTTTTTTCTGGGTTGGGAGAAAGGATGGTCACTTTCTACCCTCCCTTGTGTGTGGGGGAGGGGGAGGAGGTGTGGAGGGAGAGAGAGAGTGTGTGTGTAGGGAGGGAGGGAAAGAGACATTTTTCCTCCCTCACCCCTCCTACCCCTCCCTCCCTCCCCTCCCCCCACTAACAATATTTACTGCCAAGTGTAGTCTTGTGGGACTTCCGCTGAGGTTATACCATTACCTGACCTCTCCTCCACCTGGTTGTCTGTCTTGTGTGTGTCTGTCTCTGTCTGTCTGTCTGTCTGTGTGTGTGTCTGTCTGTGTGTATGTATGTGTATGTATGTGTGTGTGTGTGTGTGTGTGTGTGTGTGTGTGTCCAGCTGATGGCCTCGAGTGTGACGTCCTTGATCAACCAGTTTCCCCCTCCCTCCCCTAGCATGCCATCGTCACTACACAGCTTGGTTGGTTGTCCCTGTATGTATGTACGTATTTCCATGAGTGGGATATGGTTGGTTGGTGGTGTAGTGGTGGTGGTTGTGGTAGTAGTAGTGGTGGTGGTTGTGGTAGTAGTGGTGGTGGTGGTGGTAGCGGTGGTAGTGGTAGTAGTAGTGGTGGTTGTAGTAGTAAGTGGTTGTGGTGGTGGTAGTGGTACAACAACAGCTGTACAACATAACACGGGTCTACAGTAATTGTTCAGTTACGGTACAGAGGGTCAGTAGACACACCTCTTAATTGCCGAATTGTACCACCTCTTGGGGGGTGGAGTAGTGGGGAGGGTGATCTGAGAGAGTGGGAGTGATCTGAGAGGTAGGAGGGGGTGATCTGAGGTAGTGGGAGGCTGAGAGGTAGGAGGGTGATCTGAGGTAGTGGGGAGGTGATCTGAGAGTAGTGGGGTTGTTTTGAAAAGTTTTTATTTTTTAAGTTTCTTTGTCGTGTCTGAGTTGATGTCATGGCTGTCGGTCTGTCGGTCACCACACGTCCCTATGTAGTTCATCTTGAAGCATAGATAGAGGGATAGATAGATAGATAGGGATAGAAGAAAAAAGTACATTAAAGAGAGAGAGAAAAGAGGAGGAGAGAGAGAGTGGAAGGGAGGAGGAAAGAGAGAGTGGAAGGGAGGAGGAGGGAGGGAGAGAGAGGGAAAGAGGAAAGAAAGAAAGAGGTGAAAGTGAGTGGGAAAAGGAGGAGAAAGAAAGGAGGAAAAGGAGAGAGAAAGGGTATCACATTAAACTAACATAAACATGAACGCTTACTTCCTGTTGATTGTCCCTCCCTTTCCCTCCTTCCCTCCTCCTTCCCTCCATCCCTGGGAGGGAGGGAGGAGGAAGATTCACTCAATACAAGAGATAAACTTTCTTAGGGGGTTCACTTATTTTTATTAGTGGCTGGACAGAAGGTGGTGCCCCCCCTCCTCCTCTCTCTCCTTTTTCTTCCTCTCCTCTTTACCTTCCTTCCTTTCTCTCCTTCCTCTTCCAGCCTTCCCTCCCTTACAATAGTCAAGGGGGAGGGAGTGATTTTGTGTAGTGATGGGTGGTTTGAATACCAACGGGGGTGTGAGGAGTAGGGATTTAGGGGGTGAGGAAGGGTAGGGATTTAGTGGGGGGTGAGGGAAGGGATTGAGGAGTAGGGAGTTTAGTGGGGGTTGAGGAAGGGGTAAGAAGAACCTACTTGAAGACGAGATGTGTGTGTGAAGTCTCTCTCTCTCTCTCTCTCTCTCTCTCTCCTCTCCTCTCATTCCTCACTCTCCTCACACCCCAGGGGACCCTCTCACCCTGGGAACCCACCTCCAGCCCACCCTAACCCACCGTGACGTAACCACAGAGGGAAGAGACCACCCAGCCCACCTTAGCCCACCTACTTGGTAATGATCCTTATCGTATGGAGATTAGGGGTGAGATGTCCTGTCGGCTTTGTTGTGTACAGGTTGGGATTGGGTTGCAGGTGTGTGTGGTGGTGGGTGTGTGTGTGTGTGTGTGTGTGTGGAGTTGTGTGTGTGTGTGTGTGTGTGTGTGTGTGTGTGTGTGTGTGTGTGTGTGGGTGTGTGTGTGTGTGTGTGTGTGTGTGTGTGTGTGGTGGTGGGTGTGTGTGTGTGTGTGTTGACCGTGTATGTGTATGTATGTATGTATGTATATGCATAGTCTTTGTGTATGTGTGCTACGCCTCTGATCCGTGTTTTAAGGGAAGGTAATGGGGGAATGGGATACGCCCTTTTATATATCCATAAAGGGGGAGAAATCATAGGTGTGGGTTACGCCTGCCTCGTATCTTAATATGGGGGAAGGGGGGTTGTAATAGGTTAATGGGATATATATCAACGGGGTGTTAAAATAGGGGGTGAATGGGGTTTAATGGGTGTGTGGTATACGCCCCCTAGTTTATCGTTAAATAGGGTGAATTTTTAATGGGTGGGGGGCAACACACACACACACACACACACACACACACACACACACACACAGAGACAGATACACACAG